TTTGTTAAGGAAAAGTAATGAGGAAGGAATGGGCATTAATGAGAGAGAGAGAGAGGGAGAGAGAGAGAGAGAGAGTAAGAGAGAGAGATATTTTATTTTTAATTGTTGTATCAAAGAAAAAAAAAATGGGAAAATAAATAATTAGGGGCAAATCCGTCATTATAAAAACATTCATAGGAAATTGGACTAAACTCGCAACAAAACGAAACTATTGGACCATCCTTGCGAGCCAAACTCATTTTGGACCAAAGTTGCTAGTTTTGACATACCATAGGGACCATTCTTGCAATTTTGTCTTAAATATATATAGCTTTAAGTATAAATATTGGTATTAGAATGATATGGGAAAGTAATGGGTTATACTTTGGAGTTTAAAATGTGCATGATATATGATATAGGGATAATGACTTGAGAGGGTAACATACTTTTGCTATTGGTCACATTTGGTCACTAAACTTTTTTTCGTGCTCTAATAGCCATTTAACTTGTTGATTTGTGTAAATTTTCCCCCTGCGACTGCTTTTTGCCGGTTGCAATGGATTGATCGATCCTACGTGTCAGTTTGATCCTACGTGGCATGTTGAGCTAATGTTATTAAAAGAGGGGTGTATGTGGTTCCTTTATTGTGCCCTAATACCCCGATGGCTTCCTCCTACAGCTTCTCATCGTCCCTCAATCGATCAAGCAAGAAATCAACAGTGAACGATCCAAAAACTTGTGATTGTGGGTTCCCTGCACGTATTCTAACGTCAGCAACACCAAAGAATCCAGGGAGGCATTTCATGGTATGCAATAAGGTAAGCTATTTTACTTGAATCTTCCCCCTTTTCTGATTCTTTTTTCCTAATTTGAAATCTCATTATGAGTTATTTGTGTTGAAGGGTAAATGCAAATATTGGAAATGGTTGGATGTAGAACCTGTACAAATGCTTGTAATGGAAGTGGTGGAGGGAATGAAAGCTGAATTAGTAGCATTGAAGACTGAAGTAGAGAAGGTGAAGGAAGACATGAAACATATGAAGAAGGAAAAGTACTCTGATGCCATTGCAATGAAGGAAAAAATATATAAGTTTACCATAGGATTTCTTTTTTTGATCATCGTGTATATGATGAAATGATGTGAAATGATGTATTGAAAGATGTTTGAATGGAATGAAGGCATTATCTTAACTTCTTGTTGGAATGGAATGAAGTAATTTTGACTGGAATGGAATCACAAACTAGTAATTTTGACTGGAATGGAATCACAAAGAAGTAATTTTGACTTGAATTAGAAAGAAGTAATTTTGACTGGAATCACAATGTAGTAATTTTGGAATGGAATCACAAAGAAGTATATGTTCATGTTCAAAAGATTGATTTGAGAGAAAAGGATGATTGAAAAGAAACTTCTTCTTATTTCTCTTCTGAACAACTACTAATCTATTACATATATGTACAATTAATAACATTACACATCAAGACGTCTAACTAACTTGTAACAGACTAGAAAGTAGAAAATGACCAAACAACCCTTGGTAGTTAAAACTGATTAACTATCATATTAGTTAAGCTAACAATATATGATTCCATTCTTTGACTGTAATGAATAGATAAATATAATTTTGACTGGAATGGAATCACTGAGACAACATTGCATACAAATAACAAGAAATACTCCATTAATATTCGATGTTAAATAAAGGGCAAGTTGTCTGCATACACAAAAGATAGGACAAAAGATTCCTACTAGGGACCACAAAAGAAGGGCCACCATGTGCCCACACACCCAAAAGAAAAGCATAAATAAAACATAATACTTTGTCTTTACATCACAACTTGATAACAAAAGATGTGCCCATCCACTACCTACATACTAACTTAATCAATGACTGCATGGTTCTCTGCACTGCTCCCAACCCCAAGTATATTTCTCCTCAATGCCATTTTGACAATCCTTTCAAAATATTGCCTCCGTACACTTCTATCAATTGGGGCCCTTCTTGGGACAGACCTTGCAGCTGTTGTTGTTGGTGGTGGTGGTGGTGGTTGGGCTGCTGCTGGTGGTGGTGATGGAGGTGGTTGAGGTGGTTGGCTTGCTGCTGCATCTGGTGGTTGACTTGGTCCTACTCCACTACCCCTGGAGGAACTTGCTACAAAAAAATTGAAGTCTCAATTACTTATCAAACTGATATATGTAAAGATGATTGGGGCATTTACCTGATGTATTTGTTTCCTGCTTAGATGGACACTTTTTCTTGTTATGGCCTGGTTCCTTACACATACTACACCTTATCAGGGCTCCCCTTCTTGTCACAGAATGTCTAACTGGGCCACTCAACTCTCTTTCCACTGCATCCCTCTTCCTTTTCATTGATGGTCTACCAGGTAATCTTCTTCTTTTGGGAGGAAAAGGCTTTTGATAAGGAACTTCTGGCCACATATCACTACCATTGAGAGGGTTAATGCTATAATTGTAGCATTTTAGATAAGCCTTTTTACTGTATGATTGGGACACATATGTTTCTGCATCTTGATTCAGGGAAGAGATTGCAGCTACTCCATGTAAGCATGGTATCCCTGTAAGTTGCCATTTTCTACATGTACAAGTCTTTGCAATTAGATCCACTCCATATGCTGCATCATTGAACCTAACTTCATACTTTTAATAACCACAAGAAGTAACCCCCCAAAATCTGTATAAGGCAATAATGACTACAAATTAATAACTAATAACACAAACTAATAAAAACCATTTGTTGAATTGTAAAACTACATGTTACCTCTGTTTAACCTTCAAATCTTGTATAAACTTCCTAATACTTGAACAGATAGTCAAATCCCATTCATTTCCTTCTACTCTTTGACTGTATATCCTCTCCATCACAAATATCCTAATCTCCTCTAGCATAGTGATGATTGGTTTCCTTCTAGCATGCCTAATAGCAGAATTGAAACTCTCACTCACCCCATTCTCAACTGCATCACAATCTCTTCCCTCTTTAAAAAATGCCTTAGACCAGGTAGTAGGATCTCTATCTATAAGGTAGTCATATGCTTGACTATCAATAGATTTGATCTTTTCTATAACATGTTTGAACTTCTGTTCAGTACTAGCTTTGACAGCCCTCCAAAAAAGCTTCCTGAAATGTTGACCAGTAAACCTTTTAGCAAAATTAGCCACAATGTGTCTGGCACATTGTCTGTGTTCAACTTCTGGACACCTTTCTTTTACCGCTTCTAGCAACCCATATAAATAACAACAACAAAATTAGTGAAACATGCATAAAAACAGATGTAAAAAAATGAACCAATGCTAACCTTGTGTTCATCAGAAAGAAGGGTAATGCCTGCACCAAGACCACCATCAATGTCATCCATGCGGAGATCTATGAACCACTTCCATGTGGCCTTGTTCTCAACCCCAACTACAACCCATGCTATATGGTAGATATGGTTGTTTGCATCCCTCCCTACAGCTGCCAAAACTTCTCCCCTAACAATACCCTTTAAGAAGCAACCATCAAGGCCAATCACATGCCTGCACCCTTCCTTCCAACCATCACTTACAGCTTTAAAGCAGACATAGTACTTAGAAAACAAAGTTGTGGAATCTGGCATGATGTCTACATCTATCCTCACAGTAGACCCAGGGTTTGTCCTCAGAATTTCATGACCATATGACCATAATCTCCCATAATGTTCAATTAGACTTCCTTCAATTTCTTGTAATGCAAATTTCTTTGCATTTCTGCATTGCCCCACACTCACATTTATATTGAATGTTGTTGAAACTTTAGCTTTCATCTTCCTAACACTCATTTTTGGCTTCTCTATAATTTCACTCATAAACTGTTTGCCTAACCACTTATAAGTTACTATGGATCCAAACTTAAACTCCCTGCTACAATTATGTTCACTAACTAGAGATTTTATCTGGAAAGTCTTCTCTTTAGTCATCCAAGAGGCCCAAAGTCTAAATGGACAAGTAGGTGACTTGTTTTTTTTTGCAACACTTAACTAACAACCTTTGGGAGTCATTTTTTTCAAACCAAAGATCATATCCATTAGCAACTGCATAGTTGCTCAACATGTTTTTAAGCTCATCAGGGTTAGAAAATCGCATACCTAACAATGGTTTTATTTGATTCCATGCTTGTCTATCATCATGCACAGGGTATTAAGGTTCAACATAGTCAACATCTTCATATAGATCATCTACATTTACTGTATGTAGACAAAGTTTGTTTAAGAACCTGTCACCCATGGTTTTGTTGGCTAGGAATGGATATTCAGCATCATCTTCTTCATGGTCAACATAATAAGTGTCCGGAAAGACTGAGTCTTCATCCTCTTCACAACTGTAGTCTTGATCTTCATTTTCCTCTTCCTCAATCCATTCGAAGATTGGTTCATTATATTGGTCCACATACACATTCATTCTCCTTTCATTTGCATAAGCCAAATCCAAAAATTCTTTGTAATCATCGTCATTCACCAGTGTATGAATTCCCTGACTTAAAGACTCTTGTGAAAGGCAAAAGTAGATGTCTTTGCTTTTACTTCTGGTGAGCTTTTGAAGGAATTCCATGAACTCCTCGTAGTCAAAAGCACTGAAGTCAACATCTCGCACTGATTGTCTGTCGGGATCAAAGTATACTAATGGGTTGGGTGCAAACGTTCCATTGTAGTGGAAATCCACTACAATGAAGTTTCGATCAGTGGGACATTGTGATGAAGCCATTATAGAGACTGATTGAAGATTGAAGGAGACAAAATCGGGGGTTAATGAGACTTCGTGCCCTAATCGAATTTAAGGACCAAATGAGACTTCACTCTTAACTTTAATGAGGATGGGAGGCAAAATCGGGGCCTACATGCCACCTCATTGGCCACCTAGGATAAAAAAGCCACATCAGACCGATTCAACCATTGAAACCGGCTATAATCGGTCATAGGGGGAAAATTTACACGAATCAACAAGTTAAATGGCTATTAGAGCACGAAAAAAGGTTTAGTGACCAAATGTGACCAATAGCAAAAGTATGTTACCCTGTCAAATCATTATCCCTATGATATACTGTTGTAATGTTGTTAGTTTCCAGTTTCTATGCTAATTAACATATACAATTAAATCACAATATCCTTATGAACAGTATCTTACCGGATACTGTTCATAAAGTTAGTTTGTCTACCATGATTAGTTTAATCCCTGCTACCTATCGTTCCTTCTTTCACCGCTTCAGATACATCTGCTTCTTCATTCTTTTTTGTCGGCAATCTCCACCGCTTAATCCCTCCACCGATCACTCAAAACCTTTAATCACTTTCAATGTCGGCAACCACCATACCAGAACCTCACAGTTGCACTTCCCTTTACGGGCCTTTCTGTTCTCCACCTTCATTCTTCTTGATGCAGACGAAATCACCTGCACCGGCATGTTCGGTCCTAAATCACCGCCTCCGGTTTCCTTTATTAGCATCGTCTCTCTTGTAGAATAATCTGACCCATTTGCTTGAACTGAGGAAAACCACCGCACGCTGTCATCGTATTTCCCCCTCTCTTAACAATATAAGTAATGGAGTTGAAGAACAACAATACGCAAACCATCAGCCGATGTATGTACATGTTCTCAATCGATCAATTCTTTATTATACTCTTCATGTCCGTTCTCAACTCTTGATTAATTCAACTTGATTTCGAGCTGTAGTGTTCAAATATGTGATAAATCGCCATGCCCGCAAATTGTTTGATGTAAGTCCTCACCATGGTGATAGCATCATTTAGTCATTTCATCTCTTACAATTAGCTTACATGGTAAAAAAAAATTTCAGGTTCATGCATATCAAATTAGCAATACGATTTAGGTTTATCTATATGTTGATTTTATGAATTTATCTGTTTATTGTATCCGAGATTGAAAACCATAGGTCAATTTTCATAAAATATTTTCAGTTTTTTACAATACTCGGTCCAGTTGTTTCTCTATGATTTGTTACCTTACCTATTTTCCCAATCATTATCAACTTCTCAATTGTTATCTCAATGGTTAAATTTGTGTAACTTCTTTTCAGTTACTGACTTTTAACGATTCTTTGTAGACAAAACGTCAACCGGAAATTACAGAAAGATTTCCCTGGAACAAAAGGTAAGACGTTTTTATTCTTGATTGACTCCTAAGAAGTTAAAAGCTTCATGTTTCCTTGCTCTTCTTTTATAGATCGAGTCTTAGAAGGTTCCAAATGCCAATCATGCCCTCAATTGGGTAAAAGAAAATGTTTATGCAAACTTTCCTAGAATACATACAGTAGGGATTGTTGTTCGAAATGAAGTTCCTGAAGGTAATGATTTAGATCTTCAAGATTCCGTTTTGTTTTACTTTGAACGAGGTTGATAGATTTGTTTAGTGTAGTAAATTTGACTTTAAATTTATTATGACTGATGGGTTGTTTTTTGATTTGTTTTACTGTAGGCCGAAGATGATGATTAAAGTGGTCAATTGAAGAAACATGAATTTGTTGCTTTACTTTATGGGAAACCCTTTGATTATCAATAGTTTTTGAATCTAAATAGATGGTTATTGCTATTATTCTTGAGTCATTGTGTCTTGTAAATATTTTAGTTCTTATCAGATTATGAAAGGCCTATCAGGGACATAGTTTTTGATGTTGAACAAAATTTTCTTTCAGGTTGTCTGTCAAATCAAATGGAAAAAAAAGATATAGACTCAGTGGAGATGGTTACCGTTCTCTCAAGGTAGTCCCTTTATGGTATATAATTTCATTGATCATTTTTTATATGAATTAATTTGGTAGGGAGCTCTACTCTGTCATTTTACTAATATTTTTAATAAAGTCAATTTCTAGTCCTTTTAAATCGGCTTATAAATGCCTTTGATGAAGTAGCAGTTTCAGTGTGAAAGTTATTGAAATTACAATGGTTGTTGGTGATGATTCATACATTGAACTGATATCATGGAATATGAACCATGATTTTGACAGATTTGAGGTTTCTTACTTACAAGAACTTTTAAGGATTGACTATATTTAGCAACATAAACTGATATTTTCATTAAGGTACAACATAAAGATGTGAAAATGATGAAAATACATATCTCCTAAGCAGATTTGTACCATAATTTTCTGACACAAATGGTTTTTGAAATTTATTTGTGCTCAAAACAAAAGGGAAAAGATTTTAGTGAAAAAAAACCATCTCCAAATAAGTTTTATAAGTGAGTGTACACTGGCAAATCTCAAAAAAAAAATCACAACCCTTTACAGTACATACCCTTTCTTAATGTTTTCAGTTCTTGATTGCTTTTGGTATGTATCAGATTAGGATACACAAATTCTTGGAGAAAACAATGATAAAGAGGATGCTAAAGCTGCAAGAAGTGAATACAAAGTTTATGATTATTTTAAGAAGGAACAAGAGGGAATACATGATAAACTTGCAAAGTTTGCTTTCACAAACAGGCTAATATTCAGGTACTAAATTTGGAATTTGATATATGCCCAAACATTACAATATTAACGTTGTTACTCTAAACTAAAGGGTAATATAGTTATTTACATACTTTGGTCTAAAATAGAAACATATTGTGTATGTCAGGTGAAATACAACATTATTTGTTTTGGGACATATTTTAGAACATTGCGCGTTCAAAAATTTATCCAATTCTAACACTTTACCTTCAAATTTTTGGATAACATTGCTATAATTGTTAGATTTTTCATTGTACAAGGTTGTTACCCTACACAAAAAAACAACTAAAATCAACATCAATGTCCAACTTTTTAAGGTATTGCATATCTTTTAACTTGGAAATTAGGTGAGTTTTTGCTTTACATGTTGTGAATGATGACTGTGTAGAGAGAAAAAGAAAGGGGGGGGGGGTTGTCATTATTAGTCGTCCTTTTTTTCAAATGTCTTAATCTCTCTTCAACTGTTTACAAAAAGCTTAATTGCATAAAACATATTATAAACGACATAAAAAGGCAAAAACAAAATGTCTCTTTGTATACATTTAAAAAACCAAAGTACGTTGCCATTTGGTGCATTTTCCATTTTTAGGTGTTAAATGCACTAAATGTATATATTCGTAACATATAACATTTTACTTTAATTCTAATGTTAGGTTTGTGATTTCATCATTCAAGAAAATGAAATCAGAGAAGACAGGTGACGTATGGGGTAAGTATAAAGATGTTCTTTCTGCATTTGTTGTAGATTACATTGTACTTTCATTTAAAACTATCCGGATATAAGATTGTATTTTCATTGTTTTTGAAAATCTATTCAAATATAGCATTGTAATTATTTTACTATCATGACTTATCATTGCATTTCTGCTCATCCGATTGATGGCGAATTACACATAATAGCAACATACTTTCTTCATTATCTGTCTGAAAAAACGAACACCGTCCGTCCCGTGCAACGCACGAGAAACCTCTCTAGTTTAAGTATTAAAGAATAAGAAAAACTAGTAATTGAATCCGCGTTTTGTCGTGAGTTTTTATGTGTTTTTCTTGCGTATTAGAAGTGAAAATTGATTAAACCAATATAACATATCACAACTTCTTGCATTGTCATACATATTAGATTATTTTTGAAGTTACCGAACGAAAGTTATTAAAGAAAATCAAATTATATATACTATGGACCATAAACATGAAAGTTTAGAAAATAAAGGTGGTAAGATTGACATTTAACAAAGTTCAAGATTGAGGGGTTCAAAGTAATATCTATATATTTATATATACTTATAAAAGAAACATTTTTCCTTTCACCACATTTCTTTGAAACTCGCATGACTTTTCAATTTCTTTCTAATAATAATTATAAATTGGTTAATAATGTAAAATAAATATCAAACCTAAAGTGTAATCATATATAAACTAAATTTCAATATCAAAATAATATCTTTACTTCTACTTATAAAGTTATATTTTTTAATTTTTAACATATTATACTTAATTTATTAGTTTTAATATATTGTTGGATGTAAACCACTATCATTTTAAAGGTACAATTTTAGAACAATTTGTATAAAATACTTAAATTATTAATTTAAATATAACATTATAAGATCAACTTAAATATAAATTTGAGTTTAAATTAAACAACCCAAAAAATATTTTGTAAATAGTTAAAAGTGATATACTTTAGTGTCTTTCTAATAATGATTATACGTTGGTTAATAAGGTTAAATAAATATCAAACCTAGAGTGTAATGATAAATAAATTAAATTTCAATTTTAAAATAACATCTTTACTTCTACTTATAACTTTACGTCATTAACTTTTAAGATATTATATTTAATATATTAGATTTAAAATGTAGTTGTATGTAAAACATTATGAGTTTTAAGCTACAACTTTTGAACAATTTAAAAAAAATACTTAAATTGTTAATTTAAATATAACATTACAGTATCAACTTAAATATAAATTTCAGTTCTACTTAAATAACCAAAGAATATTTTGTAAATAGTTAAAAGTGATAAATTGTAGTGATAAATGCAAAAACTAAATTGTAATCTCAATTTAACTAAAATATTTCCTAAAGATATTTTTATAACCGTTAAAAGTTTTCAAATAAGTAGTTTAAAATAACTTACAATAACAATAGTTAAAAGTAACTCTATATAAATGATTATATTGTTGCCTTTAAAATCAAAATACAATGTTTGATGTTTTAAGTAATTATAATGATAGAAATTAAAACATTAAGCAAA